CCCTGAGCCGAAGGCCTCCCGCAGCCGCCGCAGGGTGTCCGCGAAGGGGTCCATCCTGCAGGGAGGGGGCAGCGTGGGCCGGGGCTCTCCACTTTCATGGGCATTCTCCCCGCGCCCCTGGCTGTACCTCTATGGGCTCACGGACACTTCTACAAGGACTCGCGTGTAACCCCAGAGGGCCGGGGCTGCCCCTGCACCCCTCCAACACATGGGTCCCTCCCATTTCCTTCTTTTTATTTATTTATTTATTCATGAGAGTCAGAGAGAGAGATAGAGAGAGGCAGCGGCAGAGGGAGAAGCAGGCTCCCCGCCTAGCAGGGAGCCCGATGCGGGACTCGATCCCAGGACCCTGGGATTGTGACCTGAGCCGAAGGCAGACGCTTAACCATCTGAGCCACCCAGGCGCCCCCCTCCCATTTCCTTCTGAGCACTTCCTGGAGGAGCGAGGCCTGAGTGGGCCACTGGCACCACCCACCCTCAGCCCCAGAGTTGGCCCGGAGCACCTGGAGCAGTGCCCCAAGCTCTGCCTGGAATGCCAGCATCACCCTCCCTCATCCAGCTCTCCCTGCCTGGGGTTCAAACAGCTCCCGGTCCTATCAGCCCTGCTCTAACTTTGTCCGTGGCTCCCTAATACCTCTCTAGGGCCAAAGGCCTCAGCCCTGAATAAGGACCAGAATGGAAGAGGCTGGGATGAGTTATGGCACCCAGGTGTCCTGATGTCCATCCCAAGACTCTGGCCTCAGCTCAGTCATACCTTTCTCAGGTGAGGTGTGTCCTCAGTGTGCACACACTTGGAGTGTCTGGGGACAACCTCAGACTCAGTTTTTCCACGGCCAGATCCCCAGGCCCAGCCCCACTCTTGCCCAATAAACAGGGAAGCAGAGCTGGGTGGGGGCGTGCCCAGAGGGAATGGAGCCAGCAGCTGGTTCCTGCTTCTCATCCAAGGTGCCTCCTTGCCTGCCCACTGCAGGCGAGCAAGGACCCAGGGCTCGTTGACCTGGTTGTTTACCAGGGCAGGCTTCAGCTGGGCCTGGGCCATGTAGGTGACACGACCAACTTGGCCAGTCGCCCCCGGACCTTGCGGTCTAAACGTGGAGGAACGATGACACTGAAAACAATTCACAGATGGATCGGTGGGTCACAGGCTCTTCAAGGTCAGTGAGGACCCCACCAGTGGGCTCCAGCTGCAGCGGGAGAGGGGCAGGGGCAGGCTCTTGGAGGGCCAGGGTTCTGGACAGAGGGACTGGCATGTGGCCTGATTTTGAGAAACGAGGCACAGCTAGGCAGGGCCTTCACACAGGGCGCTGGGGCTCAGTCCGTGGGCGGTGGGCACACCAGGGAGCATAGGCTAGACAGGAAACCCAGCTGATCTGATTATTACCCCAGGTGCTGGGGCAGGGGACCTGATTTACCCTCCTCACGGCTGCTGTATGGTGGCTTCGGTCCCAGTCCGTGTGGCCCACAGCCCCTCGCCCCACGAGCGCTGAGCCCCTGCACCAGTGTGTGTACCCTGTGCTTCTTTAAGTGACTTGCTAGCATCTTTCTGTAGCTTCCAGAGGTCCCACAGTGAGACTGCAATACTTTCAGAAGCAGAAACAGACAGTAAGTGTCGCTTTTACAACCATAAACCAAAGGCTCAGGTCTGGCTTTGGCTCCCAAGCAGCTCCCCCTTTTCCTCTCCCAACTCCCCAGCCGTCCCCATCACAGCTCTGGTGACATCTGGCTGGTCCCAGTCTGTCCACATGCTGCCTCCTCCCCCAGCCCAGAAGCTCCTTGAGGGAGGATGGGGTCTGTCCCCACCCCCACCCCCAGGCCCAGAGGGAGGGTTCCTCCAAGGGTGCTCCCAGGATCTGTGTGTCACAGGGGGGACGTGAAATCCAGGCACACCCAGAGTAGGCCAGTGCCTACCTCTCTGAGCAGAGCCAGCTCCCGGCGCCCGGCTCCTGGCCCTGTGGCCCCCCGCCCCGTTTCACTCCGGAGACTCCTGGGCCCCACAAACCCCGAGTGTGGGCTCGGACCCGGGATCCCTCGCTGCACCTTTGCCTTCTTTGTCTGACCTTCTGCTTCCAGAGGCACTGACTCTGCTCCTATCCCCGGTCTCACCCCTGCCCCTGCTGACTGCCAGTCCCCCCCGGCTCCTACCAGACCCCCATGCCCATGCCGGGCAGTGGAGTGGCCCTGGGGGGGCGACTTAGCAGAAGCTGCCTCCTACTTCACGGCTCTAAAACCTTCCCCAGGCGGGGCCAGGGGTTGGCTGCAGCTGGGCAGAGAACAAGTCTGGGAATTCCAGGCTGTTCTGGATGTGCTGACAGGGGCTGGCAGGGAGTTATCTGGGGAGAAAAGTCCCCAGGGGGTTACACGATAAAATATCAGTGGGACCCTGGCAGCAAATGTTGCCTCGTCCAGGAAGCCCTCAGCCAGCAGAGTTTTATGGCCCACCCAGGTCCCTGCACCAACTCTTCATGTCCACCACCCCCTCCATCCCCACGCCACAAGGGGTCCTTTATTTCCCCTCTCCGAATATGTCCGACGGACATCCTCAGGGCAGAGGAAGGGGCCGTTGCAGCTGCAGAGAGCCTGGGTGCGTGGGGCACTTGCAGGGCCCATTTCTTCTCTCATTTATGGCAGGACCCCGGGCAAGTTGCTTAACCTCTCTGAGCCTCTCCAGGTAACAACAGTGAGCGACACAGTCCTTGAGAGGGATCACGCAGGAAGATACAAGAATAGACAAGATAGTTCAGTGCTCCTAAATGTTGGCTACCAATATTTCCTCGGGTCTTTGTTGAGCACATAGTAAGTCCTGGGAAGCAGAAGCCCGAGCTCAGGCGCTGTCACCATCTCTCACCAGTTGTCTGACCCCATCCCTCCACCAGCCCTGAGTTCTGTCGGGTCCAACCAAGGCCACCCGCTGTGGAGGGCTGTGGGCAGAGCGTGGGCCAACCCACTGGATGCCCTGAGATCATCCTTGGCTGTGACTGGAGTCAGCTCGGCAGCAGCCGCCAAGAACCACAGCCCCCAGGCCCGAGTTTGGGCCCCCAGCCGGAGATAGCAGTGGTGTTAGGACACCGGGAAGGGAGCCTCGGGGCCGGCAAGGCCCATCTAAGAGCAGAGGGTGGGGGTGGCAGCTGAGGAGGCCTCCTGCCCCCCACCCATTGGGTGATATGCACTTCAGATGGATGAATTGTACCTTAACGAAACGAAACGGAACCAAGAAGCCCGAATAGCTCAACCTCCGCGGGGATTGGCAAAACGTAAAAGAAGACCGTTGTAAGCCGTCTTTGCTGCCCCATTTTACCAGTTTCCCGCGGCTGCTCTGACAAAGGGCCACAGATGTGCTGGCTGAGGACAGTAGAAATGTATCGTCTCAGGGCTCTGGAGGCCAGAAGTCCCAAATCAGGGTCATGCCTCCTCCCGCAATTCCAGGGCAGAGTCCTTCCCCGCCAGACATCCGCAGCTGGGAGGGAAGAGTGTCCGTTCCGGGCAGACGGGTCACCTGCGCATTGGTGACACAGAGCAAGGGGAAGGTGGGGGGACAGGCCCGGCACATCCTTGGATGGGTACAGCCACGGGAAGGCAGACGCTTAACTCCCCAAGCCACCCAGGAGCCCCCAGATGATTCTCTCCAGGAGTTCTATTGCTATAAGGAAGCCAAGAATGGGTGGTGGCTCAGGGGTGGGATGGGTGGAGAGTGGGGAGATCCAGGGGGTACATATCGGTGTTTATGGGGATGAACCAGGTGGGAAGCCCTTGTCGGGGGAAGGTAGAGGGGCAGAGCATGTGGATGTGGGGTGAGGGCTTACAGAGTTGGGGGCAGAAAATGAGGGACGGATTCCCTCTGGGGATTTCTGTGTTTTCTATGATGTAACACCAGCCAGAGTGGGGGAGGGAGGAAGCTGGGCGTGACAAATCTGAGGACAGAACAGCAGCTCTGGTTGAGGCCTTGGAGGTTTGGCTATGACCTTCCATTGAGATTTGACAGACTCCTATGGACTGAATGGTATTCCTCCAAAATCCATATGGTGGATATTTAGAGAGTGCTCCCTTTTTGGTGATTACAAACATTGCCGTGAGTAACATCAGATATATGTCTCTTGGAGTTTCTCTTCGGTGTGTATCTGCGGTTAAGATGTGTAGGTGGTATGTTCATCTTCAATTTTCCCGGTATTGCTACACATGGTCTGGATGTTGCCTCCAAAGAGATTGACTAATTGAAATTTCCCCTAACATTGTATAAAAGTTCCCCTTGGCCCATATCCTCTCCAACACTTGGTATTCTCAGACTTTTTGTTTTTTTCAGTGAGTGTAGTGGGTTGAATGGTGCCCTCCCCCCGCCCCCTACAAAGACATGTCCATGCCCTAACCCTGGGAGTTTGTGAATGAGATCTTCTGTGGGAAAAGGATCTTTTTTTTTAATTTTTTTTAAATGTTTTATTTATTTATTCATGAGAGTCAGAGAGAGAGAGAGAGAGAGAGGCAGAGGCAGAGAGAGAAGCAGGCTCCCCGCCTAGCAGGGAGCCCGATGCGGGACTCGATCCCAGGACCCTGGGATCATGACCTGAGCCGAAGGCAGACACTTAACCACCTGAGCCACCCAGGTGCCCTGAAAAGGATCTTTACAGATGTAATTAAGGATCTCGAGATAAGATCATTCCGGATTAGCCAGCGGAGCCCTAAATCCTATGATGAGTGTCCTCGTCAGAGAAAGAGATTTGAGATAGAAGAGGAGGAGGCCACGTGAAGATGAGGCAGAGATTGCCACGAGCCAAGGAGCCCCCGGAGCCCCCAGAAGTTGGAAGAGGTAAGGCAGGACCCTCCCCTAGAGGCGCTGGAGAGAGCGTGGTCCTGTCATACCTGATTTCAGACTTCTGACCTCCAGAACTGTGAGAGAATGAATATCTGGTTTCTAAGCCACCAAGTTTGTGTAATTTGTTACCGCAGTCCTAGGAAACTGACACAATGGGTATGTAACAGTATCTTACAATTGTTGTAATTTTTATTTTACCAGTTACTGCTGAGGTTGAGCATAGTCTTATTTGCTTATGGGCTCTTCGGGCTTCTTATCAGTTCTTTCTTTCTTTTTTTTTTTTTGCATGGTTTTCTACTGTGTTATTTTTCTTTTGTCTTATTGGTTTGTAGGAATTCTGTATATTCAAAACAGTAACCCTTTGCTGTGTATCTATTTTTTTGGTAACTAATAAACTTTATTTTCTAGAACTGTCTAGGTACACAGCAAAATTGAGTGAAAAATACACATAGTTCCCGTATACCCCTTTGGCCCCCCACACACATACTCAACATCCCTCATCAGAGGCGTTAACATCAGTGAATCCACACTGACACATCATCATCCCCCAGAGTCCACAGTTACATTAGGGTTCCCACTCCGTGTTAGACATTCTATGTGTTTTGACAAATGCATAAGAACACGTACCCGCCATTGTAATATCATAAAGAATAACTTCATGCCCTAAAATCCTCTGTGCTCCACCTATTTGTCACTCTTTCACTCCAAACCCCTGACAACCACTTTTTTTTTTTTTTTACTGTTTCCATAGTTATTCTTTTTCTGGAATTCCACATGGCTGGAATCACACAGTATGCAGCCTCTCAGATTGACATCTTTCACTTAATCATATGCATTTAAGTTTCCTCCATGTCTTTTCATGGCTTGATAGCTCATTTCTTCTTAGCCCTGAATAATAATATTCCATTGTCTGGGTGGACCACAGTTTATTTATCCTATGGATAGTACCTATAAAAGGACATCTTGGCTGCTTTCAAGTTTTGGAAATTATGAATAAAGCTGCTATACACATCCATGTGAAGGTTTTTGTGTGGACATAAGTTTTCAACTCCTTTGGGTAAATACCAAGTATTTCACTTGACTTTTTTCTTGCTTACATGGTTTCTGAGAGTTCAGATATAATTCTTATTTTTGTTCCTCTATAGATCAGGTATGGCTAAGGTATCCCCCCTCTGATTTCTTCCAAGATTTTTTCTTTATCTTTGATTTTCTAAAGTTTGAATGTAATATGCCCA